CTTCTACCATTGATTGGGTAGCGTCGAAATCATCAGGGACTACGAAGGATATTGGGATCCCTTGCTTATCATCTTCGTCAATCTTCTGATCTTCTATTTGGTTCGAAGTTGATGTCTGTGATTGCTATTTGGCATCACGTTCCCCCTTCGAGCCCGACCCCATGAAGGCGAGAATATCGGAATTTCTTCTTCGACGACAAACATTTCCCTTGTGTCCGGTTGTTCCCCGTATACTATTTTGATTCCCTCCGATGTTGAGAATTTAAGAACCTGGTGGAAGGTCGAAGGTACAACTCTCATGTTGTGAATCCACGGCCTTCCAAAAAGGGCATTGTATCTCATATCGCCTTATATTACGTGGAACTTCGTTTCCTGGATAGTCCCGGCTATGTTTATTGACAGAAATATCTCGCCTTTAGTAGTTTCACATGCCATATTGAATCCGTTTAGAACCAGGGTTGCGGGTACGACCTGATCTTGTAAACCGAGCTGTTCTACAACTTTCAATATAATAATGTTGGCCGAGCTACCTGGATCAATTAACACACGCTTAACTTTAGTTTTATTCATAAGTACATATATTACCAGTGCATCGTTGTGAGGTTGCATGACTCCTTCTGCATCTTCATCATTAAAGGACAAGGTTCCTATGGGTGCATAATCCCAAGTTCGAGATCATTTTTCTCTCATAACCGATGTCTTAGTGTGTTTAAGTACCGGCCCCTGAGGGGTATCGACGCCATCGATGATCATGTGGATGACGTGCTTTGGTACTTCCTGTTCGTTTTGTTTACCGAAATCCCTGTTTTTGAAATGATTTTTGGCTCTGTCGCTTAAACATTCTCGAAGGTGCCCTTTATTGAATAACCGGGCTACCTCCTCTCTTAGTTGCCTGCAATCTTCCGTTTTGTGTCCATGGGTGCCATGATATTCACACATTTGATTGGGGTTCCTCTAGATCGGTCTGCATGGGTCGAGGCCATTTAGTGTCCTTGATGCGTTCGATAGCCGACACGATGGCGGATGCATCGATGCTGAAGTTATACTCCGATAACCGTGGTGCTTCCTTAGGTCCGGTATGCCTATCGAACCCATTTCTATTCATCAGTCCCCGAGACTCTTGGCTTCGATCATTTCTCTTTTTTCCTCATACGTGGTTACGTAAAAATTCGCTATGCCGACGATCTCCGGTGTACGGCCGGTATCAATCCTTGCTTGAACTTGGTTCTTGATCGGTATCCTTTTTAAAACCGGACCTGGAACCCAACTGGTCGTCTTTGACCCTTATTTTAGATTGATACCGATTGTGCACATCGATCCAAGTAATAGCTGGGTATTCGATTAGTTTATGCTTCAGCCGTCGTGAAGCCATCGAGCTTCGTTCATTCAGACCTTAAGTGAAAGCTTGAACAACCCAATAGTCTGTGACTGGTGGTAGATCCATTCGTTCCATTTGGAAGCGAGACACAAATTCTCTTAGCATCTCATTATCCTTTTGTCTTACCTTGAATAGGTCCGACTTTCGGGTCTCGACTTTTATGGCCCCTGCATGTGCTTTTACGAAATAATCTGCAAGCATAGCAAAAGAATCAATAGAGTTAGATGGTAAATTATGATACCATATCATTCCTCCTTTCGATAGGGTTTCACCAAATTTTTTCAATAATACAGATTCGATCTCATCATCTTCTAGATCGTTTCCTTTAATGGCACATGTGTAAGAGGTGACATGTTCGTTGGGGTCGGTTATCCCATTATATTTAGGAATTTCAGGCATGCGAAACTTCTTTGGGATTGGTTTAGGGGCCACTCTCGGGGGGAAAGGCTTATGTACGATTTTTTTGGAATCTAAGCCTTTCAATATTGGGGGTGCCCCCGGGATATGATCAACCCTGGAGTTGTACGTTTCCACCTTTTTGTTGTTTTTTTCGATCCTCTTTTCTCCTGATTCTATTCATTTTGTCAGTTCCTCGAACATCTTAACAATTTCGGGATTAGTCCCCGATTAATGCTCATTTGACCTCACCATAGTTGGTTCCGTTTTGTGAGTGACTTCCTGGGGCGAATTTGACTCCGACCCGCTCGGTATCTGGGTTTGACTCTGCAACTGAGCTATTGCTACCTGTTGAGCTTACAACATTTCAAAAATCATACGCAAGCTGACTCCGTTTTCTTCAACGTTATGGGTATCTCGAGTTGCAGATCGAGTACCACCATGAATGCTATTTTCGGGTTCAGAACGTTGGCCTGCCTCGATGGCCACATGTGAGTTAACGTCCAATGGTACTTCGACTCGAGCTCTAACGGCATTGACGAGCGGCCTTTCTCCACCGGGCGCCAAGTTATTGTTCTCATCTTGAAGGCCAGCTTCGTTGTCGATAGGCAAGGCCATTGATCGGGAGTTCGTTGTTGCTAATATGAAATCAGAGATGCTTCAAAATAAGCATGAAATGGCGAGTATTTTAGAGATTCGTGTCAAATAGCCACTGTTACCCTTAGTCCCACGGTGGGCACCAAACTGTTTACCTGAAAAACGGATTGAGTTAAATTTGTTCGTAGTTCTAAGGATATGTGGTTTAACTTGAAACAAATCATAAGAATAAATAAAAATATCAAGTGTTGACTGTAGAGAATGAAAAATAAGCAAAGTTGGGAAGAAGATGATTTATAGATTAAGCAAGATGAATTAATTTATGAAGCTAAAAAAGGATATCTCTTCAATATATGAGTGTATGATATCTCAGTTACAATGTATGCAAAAACCTGGTTCTTACAGAAATAATAACCACCCCCTTTATAGTGGAGGGATTCTACTTTAGATATAATTAAAAATACATAGTGGGAGACCCATGGTAAATTAACTTTTTCATAATTCCTGCCAGGATTCTCTCCTCTAGTGGGATTGCAACGGCTCTTGTCTATGAGCTCGATATTGACTCGAGCTCGATTCTGACTCGGATCCTTGTATTGATTCGGGGTCAGTGTTGGCCGGTCTCTGCCTCATAAGCTCGATAACTTCACTTTGCATCATAGTTCGATTTGGATTCGAGCTCGATAATGACATCAAACTCGGCATTGATCAGTCCCTAGGGCTCGAAACTTGGTGACCTGACTTCGGACCTCAACCTGATATTATGAAGACGCTTCTCCGATCCAATGCATTACCATTTCGACCAGTTCGTACGAAGGACTAATCGATTTTTACCGTATACACTTATCCTATGATAAAATAATAAAATGATAAAGGTGTTCTTCTCTAAAGCTCTTTTCCTAATGTCTTAAGAGAATCAAAGTTAAAGTTAAAAACAAAAGTTTATCCACATTTCTTTAGTGTAGAACCAAACATACATTTTATATTATATGTTGTATATTTTAGTTTTAGGCAAATAAACCAAACATCNTAATTTGTTCAGAAGCCAAACGATCCTGAGTGTTTAAAAACTATCCTCAAGGCCAACGTGTTTAAACACTATTCTCAATCAAAGAAAAGGACAGAAATATGTAGAATAGTAAAAGGGAAAATTTCTACCATGCAAATAGACGTATATTCTGGTTTCATTGACCGGCTTTAAGATGAAAGACCCCATTCATTTGGACTACTTGCGGACTGACCTGCTCTTCAATTATGATTGGGTCAAGGGTCCTATTACTTTATGGGAATAATAATATCCAAAATACTAATATTATGATATTTATTTCTCCATTTTCCAAATCTCCTTAAATATGTATGTATTAATTCAATTATTTATTTTGTTGAGGGCAAAGACTAGAGAAGTTATAGTTCACGTTCCACAATGTCATGAATGATGGCATAATCTTACCCTTTGTTTTTCACTATTTGTGATGTTCTAGATAAATACTATGATGTGAAACTATAGGTTTCTTCTTAACTATTTCGGAGATATATTCACTTATGAATTTTGAATTTTAAGCAGTCACGTTCTTATAATTCGAGATTTCCTTTTGTAAAGAGAATGATGAAGGCATTTGGACCACAGTGTTATATTAATTTTGAATTGTTACGTATTTAATGATAATCAACAAATATAAATTTTCTTGCGTCAAATGATAGATTTCTTAATTTCTTTTAAATAAAATATTACGTAGTTAGAATCTACATCATATAGCACAATTTAATTTTATTATTTGAATGCCGAGGTTCAATTAAAGTGACAAAGTTTAATTAGAAGGCCACATATTTGAAGTTTTAAAAGTGCTTGTTTGTTCTATTTATACTTCACAGCTCGTCTGAAATTGTTGTCCACCTTTTACTCTCTAATTTTCTTCTATTTTATTTTGGGGAATAGATGGAAGACCAAGGTGAAGAGAGGGTCGATCTGGTAAAGATTGAATCTTGTATTTATACGATGTAAAAAATTACAGTTGTATTGACCTACCACTAAATGCTCTTCTTAAAAGTTAAATGTTTTGGGTTTGCAGGGATTTTCTTTGAAATGCTAAGTTTTATAATATGAAAAGAAAATTTTGAACTGGCATTCACCAGATATATATATTATTTTACGATATCCAGTTACCAGAAATTGGTCGATTATACTGAATAGTAATAATATAGAACTAATGGAGGATTTATAGCTTGGCTTATTTGTGAGTTAATTCGACTTCTTGTTAGAAATGGATATTCTCTTAGTTCTTTGTTAACGCTTATATTTACAAAATAATAAGATGAGTTAAGGTATAATCTCATAATTTGATAAATATAGCGTTCAACTTTTAGAATAATCTTCCAATGAAGTTCCTCTCCTCTCCCCCCACCTTTTGGTCAATAATGTGTGGCACGAAAAAAGATAACTTAAACTAAAAAAGATGATAAAATAAAATAAAAAGAAAAAAAAGAAAAAAGAAAAAAACATGCAAAGACTTGAGGTCGTCGTCCTGAAGCATTGACTTGTTGTCCTTTTTTAAGTATGTGTGATTCAAGCTCAAGTTATAAATTGTGGGTTGATCCTATAATAGTATAAACAAATTAAAGGATCAAAGAATCATAGCACATATAACGTAAACAAAATCCTGTTTTGAATTTCATTCTATATATATATGGCTTGGATCATTAAACATATTGTAACAATATGCTTCTTTTTGGGGTATTACCAAACACTGCCTATTTATGGAGAAACAATCAGAGCACCACCTCACTATAAGGTGGTTAATGTCAGCTCTTTGGAGCCAAAACCCTACTGCCAGAGGTCAAGCTCAGGTATATTATATTAATTATTAATCTTTATCTACCCGTAAATTCTATCCCCAATAATATGTTTATATGCGTATTATGATATATTAATTAATAAATATTAGAGTTAATGGTTCACTCGACGGCATATATATGAAATTTTGTCGTAACAATAATAAAGCTTGTGGCATACCATAAGACAATTGTGATAACAAAAGTAGAGGGAAGTTGTCAAGCATTTCACACTAAACATCATTTTTATTATTTTAGTTATTATTGGTCATTACCCCTTTACCAATATGCTGCTAGTGTTATTGACTCAATTGTTTTTCACATAGAGTTATTGCGTCTTTTGTTTTCTTTAATCTAGTGCCGTTTACTTTTCCTATCGTCTATTATTCATTTTTGAACTCGCTTTTCACTTTTCTGGGTTTGACCCCTGCAGTTTTTACTACTCTCGTATTTGTTATTTCACCCCTCTTCGAAACTTAAATTCTGGCTATTGCTTAACAAGTTGCCTTATTCATCTATTGGAATTGTTTTGATAGTGCTGATGAAATTATTATGGTATAATATAGGCTCGAAAATCGGATCGCAAAAATTGGAGATCGTATCAAGATTTGGACCTTGCTTTCCAAATACTAGTCGAACGAAAACTGCATCATCCAACGAACTTCTAAATTGGGATCAAGCTAGAGTTCGTTCAATCAATAAAAGAGTGAATGACCATCTTTACAGTAACAGTCTTTCTGAGGATGGACTTGATCCAACTATTGAAGGTAAGTATGAATTTGGGGGGGTCTATAATGTAAAGATAGGTCTTGGCACACCAAAACAAGATTATTACTTAATGATGGATACTGGTAGCCAACCAACTTGGGTACGTTGCCAATCCTGCACCAAAGGTTGCAAATCAGAGAATCCTCTGTATGACCCTTCAAAATCCTCGACATATACAAATAATACATCGGTTCCATTTCGTGTTGGTTATGGTGATAACTCATATACGAATGGCATTTGGGGATGTGATACTCTCACTATAGAGGGTATTGGTGCAATAAACAACTTCCGATTTGGTTGTGGCCAAGAAAATGTTGATGGAACTGGCAATAACTTTGGTGATGTAGCTGGAATACTTGGACTTGGCAGAGGAGAGTTATCTTTTCCATCTCAAATTCAAAGTGCGTCATCAACGCAAATGTTTAGTTATTATGTCCCATTAACAAATAGCCATGTGGGAAATCTAGAATTTGGGAATGAAGCCAAGAAGAAATCTTACGCTTGTTCAAACCAATTTACACCATTGGTAAAAGGCCCCGAACCAGTATTCTACTATCTTGACCTAGTTGGAATAAGTGTAGCTGGAAATAAACTCAACGTCACATCGACAACATTCACTAATGAAGGAACAGTTATAGACAGTGGAACGGTAATCACTCGATTGCCACGAGCTGTATACTCTGCGTTTCGTGCTGCTTTTAGACAGTCGATGTCGAGTTACACATTATTAGAAAATGTTGATGAGCTGATGGACACCTGCTACAGCTTCAAGGGATACGAACAAATTGTTTTACCAGAGATTAAATTCCATTTTGGAGAAGGAACTAGTACTACTACTGATGTGAAGTTGTCAAACAATGGGATTTTATGGATGAAAGATGATAGAGTGAAGTGTTTGGCTTTTGCTGCAAAGGAAAACGATGAGCATGTCAGCATTATTGGTTACGTTCAACAGCGGGGATTCAATGTGCTTTATGATTTGGAAAGGGAAAGAATTGGGTTTGGCAGTAACTGCGCTAGCTAGCTGGTCGGTAATTGTTATTTTCTGCAAAATAATCGACCAAAGTTGGTCGGTTATTACGTCAACATTGATCAAACTTTCGAATTACTTTTATATTTA